AAAGGAGCTGATCCTTTCACAAACTAGTCATTCGGTGTGGTTAAAAAAGACGATGATATCAAATATTGTGAGTGTAGATTGTGTAGACATAAAAGACGAACACGCACAAACGTATAGCCAGTGAAATTGGAAATATACTTAAACATCTATGATAATAAAGGCAATATGTTCATTCTTTTATATAAATATCACTATATCTATAGATGAAGCAGCCAAAGAGCTAGATGATGGGGGATAGAAAATGGATAAACGACAAGTTCATGTGTATACTAAAAAACAGTATGTGTGAATTTTAACGGGATAGGCAGTTTGGATGGGGTCCTCGTGTCAAAGCATGACCGCCCATCCTCCTCCTAAAGCTAACGATAGACGGCGCAATAGCCATGTTGACAATGTAGTTGAAGATTGAACGATCAATTGATGGTTGTTTGCTCAAACCCAACTTCCCCATAATTTTCGCGGCTCATCAATATGCCAGTCATCGTCTCATCGGTCGCTGTTCAGAAAGAACGTAAAAACCGTCAGAAGTAATATCGTGATTTATTGTTGTAATATTTGTTCTTAGACCTTAGTCTATTATGCTGGTTATATGTTGGTGTTAGAATAAAGACTTCTGGAGTCACCAGTGTGTGTTCTGGTTTTTGCGTCCGTTAGTACTAAGCGTTTCTGAAAGGCTTCGAGGGACACTGTGGGGCCCGGCGTAGCAAGAGCTGGGCATTAACGGCTTTTGAGACGTGATTGACACATGTATTGTGATAGGTAGTTTCAGGGGCGGCAAACTCGAAGTGAAAAGAAATGAGACAGCTGTCGATTCTTCGCTGTCTGGCGAGCTATCTTTTATTTGGTTAACCACGACGTAAGAGTATATCTAAGAAAAAGCTAAACTTAGTCTTCGTTTTGTACACATTCACAGTTCCTCGTTATAACACTAGGCATAATAATTTTTTTCTATTTTTTGCCTGATATAAGATCAAAACCTTGAGAAATATTTTCGCGCAACTCCTCTGCTTTTGTATTTTCAGGCTTCATTTGGAGGTTGAAGTCTTAGTGGTTATTTTCCTTAAAGTCATCTGTGAATTTACTTTTTGTTAAGGCGATAGATCTCAGGCACTGCAACTTATCATCTAAGCTGGGTATCTAGTCAAAACCATTACATAATTAAGTGTCCTCCCGACTAAAGTTGGCCTCGTAATGTCCAGTCTTGACGCAGCTTTTGGAAGGTAGGTAAATAAGCTAATAAGAAACAGATTTCATCGGAACACGGATTCATGCAAACTTATGCAGTGGAATGTCCTGTTTCATGAGGCTTATCACATGCTCTGGTTTAATAAGCAAGTACGGCTGTCAATGGACGTGAACACTGAACGTTTGTTTTTGGAACTAGTAGCCATTGGTGGGCAACTCGAAAGCGCGAATGGCTCGATCGTGTACAGGTTCGACGAAGACGAACAAAAATGAATAAAAAATTGTATTATTCTTTGCTTTAACTGCCAAACAATATAACTTTCTTCTTAAAAAACTGGTGTTTTTGAGCTAAAATAGAAGAAAGCACAGAGTAATTATCGGTTCGGAGCGTCTTCGTAGCAATAGGAACTTAGGTTTAAGTTCCTTGACAACGGCTGCTACCATATACATTCCAACAAATCTGAAATTACCAGTTAGATTACGTAAAAAATCATTTTGTGGCATGCGCAAACAGCACTTTGCTTACCACCGCACACAGAGTACTGGCATTAAATCTTCCAATAATTTTACAGCTGATACAGTCCAAGGATTCGGAGTGACGTTAATAAGGCCAGAGGATAAGCGCTTTTAGGCATGGCTGGCACACAGATATTCGTCATACCAAAAGACAGCTGACTTCCTATTTTGCCTCTCATTCACTTCCCGTTAAACATAAACAGGTCGAGTTACGTCCACAACAGAATCTCCAGAAATGCCCGCACATTCTTTCTTCTCACTGACTGCAACTGTCAACAGTACATCCACAAAACCGGTTGTATTCTATTCTTGTGTATGGCTGACTATCGATTGCAGAAGCTCATCTTCTGTATTCATAAACAAAACCCCTTGAATCCTCAAGTAATTGTTTGCATTTTCCGCAAGATGCTTGACTGTCAGTAGAAAGTGAGGTTCTCATACCACTTGCTCAAGTCCATTGCAGAGCAGTGGTTTATCTCAGTTTTGTTTTCTAATTCTTTGTTCAAGACACGTTTTCTTGACTTGTCACGTGATAATTCTCCCAGCACTTTGCCAACTGTTTTGAGTATTTGTCCCCCTCCTAATAGTTATATACCAATTCACTATTGATTTGCTGGATTATAGCATCGGACAGAAAACGTACAACTCACTCAGTGAATCTGCCTGTCTTGGCCGGCTGCTATAGCTCAGATTATAGCTTGCGTAGTGTTACCTCTTCTAGCAGTGTGTATGAACTGCTGAAAAACTGCAATGAGCCATATGTGGACAAAGCACGTATACTAGGTAACGATACAAAATGAGTTTTCTACAATTCTCCAGCTGTCCAGTTGTCCCAATATCTTTACGACTACGCATTTGTGGACATAAGCAGTTGGGTCTAAACAAAAAGCCGGTAATCGGATAAGTGTTTCAGCGGTGAGAAAGAGTTATTCTGCGTTGAATATATCAGCAGTATGGAGCCGTTCGAAAACAGTGGTGACGAAATAGCATTTTCGGAAAGTTTTATGAGGCATGATAACTGACAGAACAGTCCGCCATACTACTCTTGGCTCCAAAAATGTCTCCAAACACATTCCAGAGCAAACAAATTCTACGCTGCGACTAAAGGCGTAACCTCAAGACTCAGTGCTTGAAGCCCTAGGTTCGATTCGGAAAGCAAAGGAATAGGGAAGTCCATCAGTGATCTACTGGAGGCAGATGAACTCTCATGAACATCTTAAAGTAACTGTTCAACTTCCAACTCGAAGACGAGCCTGTTTCTGCCGCCAAACACTCTGCAGTCACCTTGCTTGAACTATGCAAAGAAATCGTATAAAATAGCCTCTGTTTTGGGCAGTACAAACCTAAAGATCAAATCATGGTAAGACGGATGGAATATGATATTTACTGCTTATGTCCAACCTAGCCTTTTCCAAGGACAGTCGACTTAACATAAGATAGCATTTTGTTAGTCAGTAGTGAACGCGTAGAGCAGGGAATCCACAGACATATCTATCTCACATATGCCTCGCATTTCGCGAGAACCAACGTTCTTTCTTTTTTCCCTCAAAAACCCAGCAAAAGATCTGAAGCAAATTTATCAATCATCTCAGCAGTAGGCTATTTCCGTCTGATGTCACATTACAGCATGCAGGGTAGTAGGGTTTGGGGGAACGTGGAAGTTCGTCAACTCAATTGAACCACGGTCATTCGACTATCGAAGACCACTAAGTTTATCCTCGAGGAGTGAAACACACGGTGACAAATATAATTTTTAAAGAACAAGAGCTCGACAGCTTCTTTGCGGTGTGTTAATATACCTGTGCGCCCTCTTCAAATCATAGTAAATAAATATATCTTAAGGCAGCTGTAAGTGTTATATTATACTTTTGCTAGTAAGCGCGGTGCTAAGATCTGCTTATCCACTAGGTTAGGTGTGCCAGAGTGATGCGTATGCAGGTAGTGTAGCTAGAGCTAAAATCTAGCAGGACTGATATCCATACATCGATTGTGAACGCTGTATCTAGTTGAAATCAAATGGAAGCGAGTTCAGAATCATCCAAGCAATCTAACTAGTTAGTTTACCAGAAAGGCAAAAAGTAGAATAGTGGTTGAGCTCCAAATGAGAGGAAAAATATAGGTACACAAACGCTGAATTGGTAGTCCGTTATATAGTCACAAGGTGCACCCACGTAGTCGATCAGTTAAAGTGATTGTTCACGCAGATGAGAATGAATGAGGTCGTGGCTACAAGCATTCGCCAGTTATGTTGATTTATGTTACCTCTTCAGGACCAGTACATCACGACGAAAATGGTGAACTCTCACTGTTCGAAAATCCTAAGATATTCCACTTGGACTTAGCACACAACTAAGAACCACAAAAACATAAAAGCCTGTAGTTGGAGAAAGCCGGATTTTCTGTGGCAACGCTGCAGCGGAGTAACACTACAAACTCAGGCGTATTTTGTCGTTGAGCGGAAGAATACAGTAATAGTCAGAAACACGAGGACTAGCAGATTTCTTTTTATTGGAGTTTATTGCTTATGGAATTCACGGCTTGTGGAGAAGGCCAAATGGCTATGAAATGTAGGAAAGAATAGATTTAATAATCAACTACCCTAAAGAAACAACTACAGGGATTTTTGACTGATAAGACATATATAGTAGTTTACGAGGTTTTTTCGGAAGCGCACTGGTTAGCAAGTGAATAGGAAAAACTTAAACAAACACATGGAAGACAATTCATCCCCTAATATCGTTCGATGGCCAAAGAGAGCTATACAGACCACTGAAAAGTTTGGTTTGTCTTGTATTTCTTAGTTCCTTAATCGCCACCGAGTGACCGATTCTGATTTCGACATCCACTTCATTGATACCTGTAGTTGAGCGAATCCTTCCTAGACAAGTGAAGGAAGTTACCTGTTTTGAATTTATTTCGTTAATAAGGATTATTGCTTGTTGTTAGGCTGGATTTCACTGCAGATCTTCTAGTTTATGAAATAGGAAATGCAAATTTTATCTGATGTTTTGGTCTATCCAATACGTTTCTGTCTTCCCACAGTCCACCGCCTGTTACATGATCCAGTACACTGAGAAAAAGATAATAGGTGACAACGAACAGCCTCATCATACTCTTCCTTCGCTTAGAAGACTATAATGAGTTTTCAGACATTTCGGTGGTCTGTCCCTCTTTGGGTAACTCTACCGAAAGCCGTCTTTCTTAATAATCTGAACTCACATTCATTTTCTTCACTCATTTCAATGAAGATACATTAGACTTAGTAAAGAAATTCAGGTAACTCCCATTACGACAAAAGAATGAAACTGAATTTTTACTTATATTACTCAAGTTTGTCATTGAGACATTCAATAGTGAATTTGTTTATCTACACAAATATTTTGAGGTCATTGTGCGTTTATATAAGAAATAATAACGTTTTACTGTTACATGTTACCACAACAGATACAGCCGGTAAGTTTTCCGCTGTGGATGTTTATGCAACTGAGTGTATGGTTCCCGTATCAGTAACGAGAGATATTAAGTGATAAATCCGCTAGATGTTTCGCAGCAAGACGGATGTAGAGATATTTCAGCCCAGTAATATTAACTACAGAAATTCCCACTTAAAAATTTAAGTAAAGCAGCAAGGCGAAAACCGATGGTCTGTTTATTACCAACTGCATTTAGCCAAAATAATCAAAGTTAGAAGTTTCATCACAATTTCAAAATGCTTATTAATATTAGATTATAATCTAAAATTAGTCCAAAATGAAACAAGTTATGTCGGTAACATGGGTATCCGCAAGAAACTGAATTAAATAAATTAGAGACTTACGCCAGAAATTACCCAATGAACAAATGAAAATCAAAAAAATATGTTGTGAGTCAGGCTGATTCAGTTAAATAACAGAAATGTGAAGCAAGACGTTTAATAAATGATGATCTAAGTCAATGACAAGGAGGGTAGTTAGCATTCACAGTAAATAAAATGTGATATACTGGATTAAGTTTAAAAAAAGTCGAGTTATCAAGATAGGTAGAGACTTATAGCAACCTCCTTTTAAATATACAACTCACATGACGTTTCGTTAGTGACATTCTCTCCGCAGTTCTAAAAAATTCACCACGCTTCTTCATTTAACGTTTCACAGGAATTCAGTATGCCCGTATACCGTACTGAGCCAGCTAAATATCAAAGTGACTAAAGATTTATAAGCTGTTCGGTGTGTTCTACATAGTTTGAAAATTGTTCATCTATTTTCATTCCTTTCTTTACAGATTCCCCTGCAATGTAAGTCTGACCACGTTTAACAACATCGAATTCTAGGTCACAACCAAATACTGCAAGTTATGAAAATGCCATCAAAGCAGCAGAGCACATCAAGAAGCAAATACGAATAGTGCCAGAGATAGGAATAATCTGTGGAAGTGGGCTTGGTAATTTGGCTGATGGAATAGAAGATAAAACTGTCATTCGATATGAAGATATACCGAATTTCCTTCGGACAAGCGGTAAGGCGTAAACGAAGCTTTTTCATTCATTTCAGTGGTCGGACATGCGGGAAATCTAGTTTTCGGTAAACTTGGAAAGCGTAAAGTGGTTGCCATGCAGGGCAGGTTCCACATGTATGAGGGTTACTCTAAAGAACAAGTAAGATGTGATGTATATTACTCACCTTCCACCGAAGATCGCTCTTCCTATTCGGGTATTGAAATGTTTGGGAGTCAAAGTGCTTATAGTAAGTAATGCATGTGGTGGTCTGAACAGAGGTTTCAAATGCGGCGATTTCATGGTGATTAAGGATCATATAAACCTACCGGGTATGGTCCTGAATAATGTGCTTATAGGACCAAATGAAGACAAGTATGTTACAGTTTATTTCAATATTTATTCAAATAGGTTTGGGCCCAGATTCTTAGCAACCTCAAATGCGTACAACCCCGAAATTCGTAAATTGGCCATTCAATTAGCTGAGAAAATGAATATTCGTCACTTGGTTCATGAAGGTGTATATGCTTTTGCATCTGGTCCAACATATGAATCGGCTGCTGAAAGTAAAATGCTTCTCACGCTGGGTGCAGACGTGGCTGGTAAGTCAGCCGTATGATGTGCGCATACAAATTTCTCCTGGAATTATGATCACAGCCAGTTGACCTGCAACTATCAGTAGGCTGAAGCTTGTATTTTCGATAAAAGCGGTTGTAATGCAGAAACTAGAAGACAAAATTCATAGGCTAGCCACATCTAACTGTATCTATCAATGCAATGCTTCCATTTAGCCACTTCTATTGACTGTCGCTCTTGGAACTTAAATTTTTGTGTATGGAAACACTGTAGCTAAATAAAGATATTTAGACCACCATCAGTTGCACAATAAATTACCTGGTTCAAACACTCCACTAAGCTGGTGCTCATGAGTCTTTTTCCGTAGTATTTCCGGGGTCGAATAAATTACCAAAGACTTCTAGATGGCGAATACTGCGCACTGCAGAGGGCACTCCAATTCTCTTAAAACAACCGAAGCTCTGCATACAAAAGAGATAGGTCTAGCCACTGTTGCCAGCTTTGCCTACTGTCTGACCAATAAATTCATATATTCCGTGTTACTTCTCTTAGTTTACCTGGTACTCGGCTTAGTATTGTATTAATGCACATTATCTCCTACTGACTCTTTTGAAGTGTTATCTGTCGATACTCATACTTCAGTGTAATTTAAAAAATAATGGTGTTAATGATAGTGTTTTCTTACTTTCTCAAAGATGAATTTATTGAAAGGTGCATTCTTTGTTCATTAACCAGACTTTCGAAACAGAAAATACATGACGCTGTTGAGTGAGCTTCTGAAAAGGGGAAAATAATCTACAGTTTAGTAATGAGACTAGTGATAATAGGTTTCAGTTCCAAATAGTATTAAATAATACTCTTTGAAGCAACAGGTATGTGGGTCAGTCTTTTGGGCTCTCAGTCATCATCGTCTCCAGTTGTTTTTAGAATCCTACACCAAAAGTGGTATTATGGAAAACAGGTGACAAAACGAGTTCGATCACCAGTACAATTTACTTCAAAAGATCGTATGCCCCAGATAATTCATTTACGTATACTGTCAGTAAAGGGTTTTACACCAACCTCCTTGACTTGGCAAGTTTCATAATATTACTATTTACTGACTTCTCGCTAGTCTTCTATACTATAGCATACATTCATGTTTCAAAAGGTGGTACTTTTCAGTTCTATCAGAGGTGTTGAATTCGGGAGAGAACTTAAATCCTTTTGACGTATATATTCTCAAAATAATTGCAGTCAGATAGTGAGTATAAGTAAAAGATATCTGAAACAGATTATGATGATTTGGTTGAAATGACACACACTTGTTTTGACTTTTGTCATTATCTATTGCCAACAAAATTTATTCTTTTCATTATTGTAGGTATGAGTACAGTGCCAGAAGTGTTAGTTGCACGTCATTGTGGAATGACTGTCTTCGCTGTTTCACTGGTTACAAATTTGTGTGTTTTCGATGTGGAGAGTGATACGATAGCCAATCATGAGGAGGTTGTGGCTACTGCAAAGAAAAGTGCAGAGATTTTACAATTATGGATCAAGGAAATAATAATCAATGTTTCAATTGATAATTAACCAGCGAATAAAAAGACGAAAATCAGTGTTGCTAATTTCAATTATCCTCTGCACAAATCAATTTCATCTGCTCACTGCCTGTATGGATTCTGTTTCATTGATTCTTATGTTGTTTTATCCTATCTGACATAAAACACAATGATTGTTCTGCTGTAGACGCCGTATCCTATAACTATTTCCAACATCTTCACAATTATGCAAAAGAACACACAAATGGAGCCAACACAATACGAAATACCGCCAATAATTCCTCTTAGATTTGTGTGAATTTCACTTTTGTCCTGTATTGCACATACTATTCTATAAGTGCACCATATTTTTGCTGTAAACTAGGTAGTTTTTAATAAAAGTTTGATGTCGAATACACTTTTTTTGAATTTGGTACGTAATGATAACGAGTGTTAATAAACAGAGCGATTAAAACCTCAGAGAAAATTCTCTTCACCGAACGCTAGAATTTAGTTGAATTTAGAACAACTTGCATACTTATGAGTGATAATATTGATTGCTGGTTGATAAGGCAGCAAATGTGTGTCCGAGAAAGCCTTCACTGCTCCCTCGCCCTCCGTTCTCTTAAAAGCACGCTTAGAGGCATTGACGAAGCGTTCAACTTGTCCATAGGATTGAGGTTGATGACAAATTGGACGTTTAGGAGGGAAATCTCGTCTGTCACTTGGCTTCAAAGTCGAAGATATTTGATTAGACTTGCAGCAGCTAAACTTTTTTCAGAAGACTGGAGGATACGTTTAACGCGATTATTGCAGCAGAGGTGTATTTGAAGCATGACTTGCGATGAAGCCGTCTAGTGAGGACGAAACGTAAAAGCATACTGAATTTAATCGTATATTCAAGATAAGGAGCTAGTCTGACCAGTCAAGACCAAGCAAATTGAAATCACAGTAGTTTGCGAGATAACGTATACCACTGAACTTATGCTCATCAAGCTGAACTTGGCAGTTTATCTCACCCATGAGTTTAACCTTATTTCCAGAAGCATTCTTAGCGACATGCTCTGTCGGCCTAATCTGTGGACACCGAAGTATGTGCCGCGTGGTTCGGGAAATTAACGTTAAATCTGATGTCGCATCTAACTGAAGACGAGTAGGTTTGCTGTTAATATATATTGAAATGTAAATGCGTTTGCTGACGAAACCGAATTCAGAAGTTGTGAAAATGGTCTGTGCCCGGAAAGATTGTTTTGGTTTGAAAGGACTACGTCTGTTCCTCACTGAAGTGTTTTTCTGTGGTAGACAGTAACCCTCTTTATGTCCAAAAAGGTGACACTTGCGGCATTTAAGTTTCTTGAAAGAACAAAACTTGATAAAATGCCATGGACCGCAGTGGCAGCACACTGACGGACATTTTGTTGAATTTTGAGACTGATGTGCTGTGTGCTTAATGGCGGTTAGGAGAACTGTCACTGCGTTAAGTGAACTAAATGCAGACGACTGTGGTTTGCACTCCACCATAGCAGCGTCGTACTTCGAGTTGATTAAGAGTTGGCATTCTGCTGTCACCATTTGTAAAGTCATTTTCGTGTCTTCTCCCACGACTGACAGAAGTCTAGTTCCTGTGTTAGCGTTTTCTGGCTTCTCCAAGCCATAAATAAAAATCAAACACTTGAACTGATCTGGTTTCATTTCGTGTGGTTTGAACCTTTCACAGTCCCTGCTTCCTTTGCCAGCGTAAGTGACATAATCATCGGAAGGCATTTTTGTCAACTGAAAACACTGATACCGAATATTAAACATGGATGACTGTTCACCAAAAATTTGTGATAAAACGGGGACTGTTTCATCGAAAGATAACTCACGTGGGTTTTTATGCAGAATGAAATTAACATATCTGTTGTGCTCAACAGTACCAAGTTTTCGCAGCAACAGTCGAAATTCGGCAGTATTAACAAACATAGAGCATTCAATACGGAAAACGTCTTCAAAACAGTTGAAACACGCATCAAATACGAGACTAGATATTAGGTCGTAGTTGATATCACTGATGGAATTTGAGATGCTCGCATATTTCTCTGAATGAGATGTTGACAGAAATTGAATAGACAGCTGTTAAGTGAGACCTGTGGTTAATTTTAGTTGAGATGCTTCATTCTGAACCTGCTGCTGTTGCAAGATGGATTAGTGATCATCCAGAGAAATAGGTATTGTAAGCGGATTGTAATCAACACACTCGCAAAGGTAGGAAAGCTCCACTGCGCACAATAAAACCCGTCGACGCTAGTTGATTATGACTGCGGTGAACCGATTTAAAACCCACTTTTAATCGCACTGCGGAAAAACAAACTGCCGCCAATTTCTTTTAACTGCGCTGAACTGAATGAGAACCGTAGTCACTTTGTTATGTCTGCGCCTGCTCAATATGCCGATTTACCCGTTGTACCTTCCGATTTAATGAGCCATGCAAATATTCAAAGCCAAAGGCTGGCCTGTAGTCACAACATATTGTAATCACAACAAAAACAACAACAACAACAGCTATAAGAAAAATAAACACAAGGTATTTGTATATTTTTTACAACAATAAAGTTGGCCTCACAGCCGTGAGAGATGATTGATCGCAAAGTCATTCACAACATGCAGGAGAAACGATGGAACACACGATCATTCACAATATGTGTGATGAATGGTGATGTGCTATTTCATGCGGCATCTTGTCAACTTTCAACAATTTAATACTTTGTCATGTGAAAAGGTACAAGCGATCCACTGATGGAAACATTTGACATCATTTGTAAACAAACGGATTTACTACCATTACCCGAAACAAGGATGAATCGACCACTGTTGCTTTCAACAAAAGATATACAATTCAAATTTAACAACCAACTTTACTGACGAATTGATGAGTTCACCTCTGTTAC